CCCCCATGCCTATTGGACAAATTATGTCCTGAAAATGTTAAATAGTACCTTTAATATTACTTGGTAGGAAAAAATATCTTTCATTTGGTGTTGGAGTGTTTTTAGAAGAAGTGACGGATAATTTTATCAAAACTATTGATGGCCGAAGGTATGTAAACTGTATTTCAGTTTGTATTGTTATTGTTTCCTTACACTGATAAAGGACTGTAATCATTCTGTTAAGTTAATGTAAGTTGTATGGTAATCTAGTGTCAAATATCCCAACCGGAAAACACGTACTGACCGTAATCAGAAGCTCTTCTCACCCCTCTAAATTAACTCTGTACTTGTGTTGTGTTCTTGGGGAACCTGCTGTACTCCCAGTGCGTCCTACGCCCCAGGGTATGAACAGCTACTTCTGGCGATTTGGTAAAATTGGTTGGGAGGGGGTGGGGTGGGGATGGGACTAACCTAGAGTGGAGTTAGACAGACAGACAGACGACTTTTACTTAAAAAAAGATAAAAGATGAAATTAATTTAAATTAAAATTTTGTACAAAGTACATACATGCTAAATAAATTTACTAGTATACAGTTCAAGTCAATATTAGACGCTCCATAATGGATGATGCATCTTGAAAAATATGTCAGTTGGTCTCCCCTAGGCTGCTCAGTATCAACATCAGTGTTTCTTATATAGTAACCAATGTATGATGTGATGTTTATAAGGAACCTTGCATATTTTTCTGGCCTAAATTGCACTCATATGAGAAGATGGTTCAGTAATAAAGTAGCTTTCTTTTCCAACAGTCATTACAAGATGATGTTGTACTCAGTACATGATACATCTGTGGCAGCCCTTCTGATAGCGCTTGGTATTTTTGATGACAAGTGGCCTGGCTTTGCTGCTGATTTGACTTTTGAGCTCTACAGAGATAAGGTAACAAAGTATCATCAGTTAACTAAACAAATTCTCAGACACAACTCTTGAGGAAGCATTAGCATTTGTGCTAATGCAGTACAGGCGTTTTCAGGATGAGAGCACTGAAATAGCACCCAGAGAAAGATCTCTCTGTGCTCAAGATAATCTAGTGCTGTAGTTGGTTTATTAACCCCGGGGTTATGAAACTTTGTGACGGGTTTTGGGTATGATTACGACTATGCAGAAATGAGCTGACCAATTCATGAGTGGCATATATGGGTTATTAAATGACTATAAGCTTAGTCAATAAAGGGTTAAATTAGGGGCATACAGGACACGGTCACCTGTAAGTTTCTCGTGGGACATAGCGGGCAATCCAGAGTAGACAAGATAGCTTCATCTTGCCCTCCCAGACAGCCAGTCACAGTGCAGAACCTTGATGGTGGAGGATTCACATATAGACATATATACGGGTTGGTTGAGTGGTCAGGGCGCCGAACTTGAAATCCAGAGGTCGCAGGTTCAAGTCCCGCTCTGACCACTAAGCTGGAGTTGTTTCTCAGAAGACTCTAGTTCAACACCTCGGTCATGCTCATAAATAGCTAACTGGTCTGCCTCCTGCCAGTTGGGATTTTCAAGCACGTTATGTTTATTTGAAATATTTCTTTCAGTTTAAGTGGTATGCCTGAGAACTAGCTAGCTAGTTTAAGCTAAGCGCATCGACCACAATAAACATTCAACATTTAACATTTTAAACATTTTAAACATTTTTTAAGTTAGTAGAGAGTAAGGCTATAACCCCGGGGAGGGATTTCAGTATGCCCCTGACGGTATGCTTTTTTCATCGCATTCTTTCCATTGTAATATGGTAAATTGTAGCCAAAATGAAATATTAAAGGTCAGTTCAAAGGAAGGCCTCTATATCTCCAACTACTGTAATATTGTTACTAAAAGATTATTTTCCTTTCAGGATCAAGGTTACTTTGTGCGAGTTTTATATGAAGGAGAGGTATGTACTGCAATAATTTCGTATTTTGTTACATACGAAGAAGCTCTCACTCTCCTTACTTGTAGAAAACATGTAAAACTGAATTCAGGCCAATAAGACTGAGGAGTGTTGACGAGTGTTCAAACCCTCGCTCCCACTCTTGTGTAGTAAAGGTAAATCCTCTTAAGCTCAACTGGCTCCCGACCTTTAACAATCGGCGGCGTTTGTTGTTGATTTGCTACAAGAAAATGTATCAATTCTCAGTTATCAACATGAAAAAGGCTATTAGAAAATTGCCCATGGAAAACGTATACTCGAATTGGCTATAAATGCCTTTAGATTGTATTTTAAGAAAATGAAAAAATATATATTTTATGAACCATTTTTTCCATTGCGACAAAAGATCTTTTTAGTTTGCGAGAAAAGCCGGAGAAAACAGCTGTGGAAGCAGCTGTCCATGTTGTATGTTTCAACAGCTTTTCCCATTCTCTTCACATCCATTTGTTCGTGGTCTTTTACAAACATATTTTGCATTTCTTTCTTTCTCTTGTGTTTATTTAGGAGAAAATTCTTCCAGGATGTTCAAGCTCACTTTGTCCACTAAATAAGTAAGTCATTCTGCCGTGGTTTACGCGTCACACCCAACAATACTATGTTTAATTATAAATTTAAATCCTGATTTCTTGAACTTCCAAGGGAAATGAACATTGGTCTCGAGAAGTCCGAAGTTTGATTTATTGGGGATAAAATTACAGTGAAACAAACCAAGACTTTTGGTTTGAGCAACCAAGTTTGAAATGGGAAGTTTGGAGTTGCACCGAGTTTGCAGTTATTGTATAAGGCTTCGTCCAAACTGCGCCGGAGGAATGTGAAAACGGCGTTTCCACTCTGAAAACACATCGAATGTTTTCCGTCCACACTTCGCCGGAGTGATTTGAAAACGCAACCGACAATAACCAGTCATTTTGGATTTGTGTTTGAGGAAAACTTGGGTAGGGAAATCTTATCATTGTCGTGATGTCATCGTTTTCGAAAAGCTCTGTTTGCAAAATGTTTTCCGTCCACGCTTAGACGCAAAGCCGGCGTTTTCAAATTCCTCCGTTTTGAAAAGCGTTTTCCAAAAGCTCGGTTTTCGTGACGGATTAGTGTGAACGGTGGGCCCAACCGTAGAATTAAAGCTGCGTTTTAAAACTTCTCCGGCGCACTGTGGACGGGGCCTAAATTCTTGCTACACAGCTAGACTTTCTCAAAGTCCTTCGCGGTTATAGCTGGTCCTGCTGCGAGGAGCACTCGCGCTCTGCGCATTCTGCTTTTGAGTTACGCGAACATGCTCAGCTTTCGCAGCCCGACTTGTAGGCAAGTCCACCACACAGCTAAAACAAAGGTCTGCAAATTTGGTATTTCTCAACGTGCCATTCCTTATTTGCCAGGCTTAGTAAATGCCTCGGGTTTTGGTCGGGGTGCGTGGGCCGAACCTTTAAGTCCACCCCATTTCAGACCAAAATCTGTGATTGTTCATACCCTATTTTAGACCTGTGCCCAAAATCGATACCCCATTTTAGTGCCAACTCTAATATATGACCGTAGCTAAACAGACATGGCATCCATTTGCGCAAACATTTGAGAAGACCTACAAATTTGCCAATGTTAATGCGGGAAATAATTAGTTCGTTGTAAACAAAACAGGGCTGTCGTTAAGGGCCGTAAGCCGTAACACCTGTTACGGCTGAGTATGCTTGATTTTCCCTTGATGCTGCGGGTGAAATTCCCTGTTGTTTAGAGAATTCACCCACAAAGTAACAAATTTGCTATGGGTGTGGAGAATAAGGCTACAGGTGACAAAAAAATTAATGACAACCCTGCAAAATACCCAGGGCAAGCCAGTGTGAAAAACAGACACTATTTCGGACCAAAATGGTCAAAATCTATGCCCATTTTCAGACCAAAACAGCTCAAAAACCATACCCTTTGGGGCCTCACACACCTATACAGCCCATATAAGGGAGCATCTGTCCCCGGAGTAAATGGCACCACAACAAGAACAATACCATTTAGCACCAGAGGATAGAAAACACAACACCTTATAATTCAACTCGAAATTAGAAAAGAACAAAGGGAAACAATGGAGCCTAGCGGTCTCTTCACGCTTGGAAATTAAATTCCGAGAAAAACACTCGCTTAATATCTAAATCTCTCATACATTTCAGATTCAAAGAGCTGGTCTCCGAATATTTTATAAACGATTGGGAAAAAGCTTGTCAAGTTGTGAAGGAAAGGGAATTGACTGTTGCCTGAGTCCTGCAACACAGTTGTTCATGAATGATCCTACTGATCTCTCAGCGTTAGTTGTCACGGAAGTATATGCAATCCGGGTTGAAAGGACAGTGAAAAAAGTTAGATGAAAATCAAAATGTAAGGAGAGAAACAAATCAGTAGCGGGGAAATAAACTTTGTTAATCAGTCCTACTTATCATCAAGATTTGGCGACACTGCCTCGTGTCGTCGTTTCTAATCCTCTCTCTTTCGAAATTACCTAGACCATTTATACGAGAATAAAATGATGTAAAGAGTAAAAATAATATGTGCTAAACAACAACTTTATTTATGTAGAAACAGACAGTAACAATATATATATTGCATGCGTGACAAATTAATACTAATTAATCATCAAACTGGAAACAGACATATATATTTTTAACATTTTTTGATGGAGAATGTAATAAAATGGGCTTATTTCACTAATGACTGGTCTTTCGTTTTCATTGTGACCTATTTTAAAGCGATCGCAGCGAAAATGCACAAAACATGGACGTAAGTAATGTCCATTGCATTGGTTAGGATAATCGGGTTTCGGGGCAGTCGTAAGCGTAAGCCCCCCTCCATTTACCAGGTATTCCCCCTACCTACCTTGTTCTTCCCGCCGTTTTCGCACTGCTTCCCAACTGACCGAACGCCTGGTACAACCTATGAGAACTGGTGCCCATTCTGCCCTCTCCAGAGTGTATGTGAGCGGGAATAAGGAATTCAAAAGAAATTTTCTTTCCACGGAGTCTAAACTGCCGTCTACCTTTTAACAGGATAAAGTAGTCTAAATTATCCTTTTTTGGATGGAGGTGATGGGGTAAAAACTAAAAGATCAAAGTAACGTGGATTCCGACAAAAAGCCTGATGGTTACGTGTTTGTCATTGGAAAGAAAAGCGTTAAGACCATCGTTTTAGCTACCGAAATAACCTAAGGAAGCCAGCTAACACTGTTCATCTTCATGGTCCATGCCTTCATGGTTTTCAAAATCGTTATTTTCAGGAACCGCGTAAAATGCTTCTTCATTCAACAGCCAGCCTCTCAAAAATACCAGTCAAAACGTAGTTGAAAGAGAAATTGAGTGCAAGCGCCCCGTACTCAGTTGGCGACATGATCACCCGCTGTGCAGTTTAGGTAAACCACTTAGTCTAAACCCACGAACTGTACCACGCGCATGCGTCAACCTACAATAGCAGGCCAGAGTCACGAAATTTCAACAAAGAGTGCCAGCGTCCACCTGCGGAAATTTTCCTTCATTGTTTTATTAAACTGAAAACAAATAGCGGTAGCAGTAAACTTTGTTTTCTTGTCTCGCCTTCCTGTGACTTGAAAGTGAAAAGCTACTTGATATAATTTTAGAGAGGTTTTTCTTTCATTAGGCGTGGGCTTGGAGGGGGGCTTTCTGTCAAACCAACTTGATTTCTACTTTTATTGAACTGAAAAAGAAGTTTTGGCTGACGGAATTCTCAATCCCTTTTTAATTCAGTGATATATTTTGCTTTCAAGAAATAACAGGAAGCGAGACAGCCTCGGCTAGTGGTGTAAAATTTGCGGGTGGTACATATATTATTTCGATTTCTGAAGTCTATTATATATCCGATCAGAGCAACAAAGATCTCAACTTTAAAAGTCGTCAGTTCTTAGCTTTTGCTTGCACGAAGACTCTCGAACTGATCGGATTTTCTCGTTTAGCTACAATCGTGTGTTTAATGCTTGTTTCCCATGCAGGCATCCATGGTAATTTAATGTTCCAAGTATTTTCAGAAAGCTCGCACTTAGAATGAAATTGTTTTAATATTGGTAAATACGGGGCAGGATGTGGGGAATATGATTAGCACGCAAGAGAAAAAGAACTAAAAACACACACATGGCGTCTTAATAAGCAGGACAATGCAAGTTTTCCTCACCAAATATCGTTTTGGACTCGTTTTTGGCAGATATTTCCCCGAAACTTAGCGAAGTGCTCTGATGGCGCTCATAATTTGACGATCATGAATTCGCAGACCGCAAATAAAACAAGATAAGAAACGAGTGAAAAAATAAAAGGCCGGTGTATAGGTCATGAATAATTTATAGTGCTTTCTTTGTTCATTGGTGTTTAGTCTAGCGCAGTTGGGTCTTCATTAAAATAAATATTCGTCAAGTGACGGCCACACGAAAGTAAAATATCTCGTTCCACTGGATTTCTCGAGAAAATTTTCCATCTTAGGCAACTTCTGTAACATACTTAGCGACATCAGGAGACATCACCAATGATAACTAAATTTTTTTCCTTGAAAATGGAAACTCTTTTTGTGACCTTCCTGCTTTGACGTTTGTCTGAAACTTGACCGCAAAATCGCCGCAATCCTGACTAGGGTGGGGTGGTGATTTTTCTTAAAGTATTGGGTTAATGATTAGACTGGAGCGTTACGATCTAGCTTCATTTGTGTACTGTTTAGGATTTTAGCTAGAGTTCTAAACGAAAAGATAAACGAAGTTAGAAAAACCTTCTGTGTGACTGTACGTCGTAGCAATAAACAGCCACCACCTCCCCATAGAGAGAAGCTCGCATACCAGACGGAACATCAGAATGAGGCTTCCGGCTAATCGTCTGGGACAAAGATGATGGAGACATATTCGAAAGTTATTGAACATTCTAGCCCGAGGCTGGATTAATTATTTCGTTTGTTTCGTGCTATGCTTTCCCAAAACCGTCCACGTCCCGTCGAAGCTACCACTTTCACGAAATGAGAGCACAGAATACACGATTTCAACAAATGTTGAAAATCCGTCGAACTACGCTAGGATTTGGTGTTGTTCAAATCCTTTTAGGCGTCTCATTAACTGCGTTGTCGTTTGTAGCCTTCGCCTTCACTTCATCGAATAGAATACGGAATGCTTGCCCTTACTGGGCTGGATTCACGGTAGGCTTAAGTTCTTTTCACCTCACTAAATTTCAGAACTGTTGTGGGTTCAGCGCGAGCGTTGGCGTGATTTGAACTGACAAACTTGTCGCTTCTGTGTTCTTTAATAGGTTTTTTGCAGCGGAGGTGTAGGAATAATTGCTTGGAAGCATTCGTCTGTCATGTCGGTGAGTTTGTCTAAAATGTAATACTTCTAATCTTAAAAAGGGGACTTTCAATGATTTCAGCACAATAACAACTTCGTTAAAAAATCGCCTTGCGGTAACATCTTGGCGCTGGTCGGATCGGATCTATATTTGCTTTCACTTTGATATACGTACAGACATCGCTTTTTTCGGTTGCATCGGAGCCGGGATTACCTTTTTCGAAGTGATCCGCTGGATATTCTCGCGTCAAAATCAGGTGGAAAGTTTTGCTGGTTTCGTGTCTAGATGTTCAAGGCAAAATACATTTATTTTCCATCCCTATTTATGTTTGCTCATGCATGCAGACAGCGAAACTTGTGTTGTTTTCGACACTGTCTGTCAACGCTCTGTAGATTTAGTAGCCTGTGACAAAAATGCCCGATAACTAAAGCTGAAAATTTTCGACACATTTCCTGTAAGTACTTTTCTGAGCTCTAAATCGCTAACAGGTTTCCTTAGTTTTCCAGACAAATTAACCTATCGACTCCAGTGAGAATTAGGTTTATTTTTATTCCGCTGAAATCTGTTCTTTGCGTTTCAACGCTGGTAAAGAAGTCATTTTTTTTCAAAGAAGATTGTAACCCTACGCTCGTTGAATCTAGAGCCAACATATAGCAAAGTTCTGTTCGTAGGAAACGTACGAATTTAAACAAAGGGTTTTTTTTCCCTTTCATAGTCATACAGTCTGTGCAATATGCAAAAACTTGCTCAAAACCAGACGATACATCATTCATCCAGCTGAGACATCCACAGCTGAATTTGCAATTAAATCCTGTGGTATATTTTTTATGTAAATTTAAAAGGGAGAAATGTGGTATTTCCCTTAAAAATTGCTATTTTAATTGTACACAGCCTTGATTTTCAAAAACAGGGACAAAAAGGTTATGAAATCTCATATTTGTGCCAAAAGAAAGAGTTCATTTTTGTAAGAATGTTTAACACCATGAGAGAGTTAGTCTAATGCAGTATTGTTAAGAGTGGTATTTGGGTTTAATGTAGGTCACACACATGATAACGGTTTCATTGTTATGTTGTAGAGAATATTGGAAAGAGTTGTTAAAAAAAGGGAAAAAAAGTTGCTAGCAGTGCACAGGAATTGGCCAGTTATGAAACTTGAAAGATTCACAACATATTAAGTATAGAGGAAATAACTTTTTACTTCTATCTATGTCACATGCAAATAGATATGTCATAGATATGTGATATTCAACCTTAGTTCTTGCTGTAGACCAGTTATGTTATGCACAGTATCTCAAGGTGTAAAAAACATACCTATATAACAAATGAAAAAGTCTATATGTGCAGCCCAGTCTGAGATTATCAGAAAATATGAGTGAGACTGGTCAAGCATTCCACAATGATCAAGAAATGAATGTATTAATGGAAATTTTTTTACATCAATCTTTGAAAAGTTCTTCAACTGAATAGCTCAATATTCAGAATGACTTTTTTCCAAACTTAGGGGCAGATTGGCTTCATGTTACATTTTCATAACATTTGCTAATGACGCTTTTCCACAGACTCATTCATATTTTTATTGGTACAATTAAGAAATAGAAAACATGCATGGTGTTTCTGTGTTTTAGTATAAATCTACTAGCGTTCTATCACAAATGCTGTTCTCTGATTCTACGCTACTCACTATTCTGTGATAGATATTTAGTAGCATAGCAGTGTGCCCTTGTCAACAAAATGACTGCTGCTTCTTGGCATTTTCGAAGTGTCCGTGAAGAGGATGAAGATAAAGTTTTCAACAACTAGCAGATTTATACTTCTAAAAACAATTAGATTATTCGCTCTGGATTTCTGTGCATGATATGCCCCTTCGTCAACTATCACGCACAGAAATTGAAAGCGACTACTTTAATTGTTTAATACAAACACAAGTGAAGTTTGGGAGAACAAGAACCTTGCGCTGTTGGAACATGAGGTGACAGGCAAGTGTTTGCACAGCTTTTTTGAGTCCTCTCAAATTTCTGCAAGTATCTCTATAAGTCAGAAACATGGACAGGGTTCTCCTGAAAACTTGAAGTAGAGGGAGAATAACTTTGAGTAGGTGGTGGACAATGCCAATAAAAAGTTATTGAGGCCACATGGAGGAGCATTTTGAAACTGGGATTCTAAAAAGTGCATTTCAGTGTATTTTGAGCAATCATGGTTTTAAGTTCTTTTCTTGAAGAAAAGAACTTTCGCTGAGAAAAATATAATGTATTTTTCTTAGTTGAACAGTTTAATCATTGTCATCCATATCAAATTCGTGAAAAAATATCAAAAATGTCAAAAATGTTCTTATCTTGTGGTCAATCGTGTGTAAGAACAGATCAGAAACCCAAACAAGAAAAGAGTTTTGCTGGCATTAAAAGTACTAGATTGAGGTTTTACATTTATTTTGTTAAAAGACAAGTTTTGAGTGGCGTTAACACAGTGCTAGAGGTGGAAGTCATTGAATGTGATGAAACTTGTTATTCGTAACTGTTGCAAGCACAAGCCTGTGAAGTTTCCCATGGATGTAAGCTCAGAATTTCTTCTGATTAAGCGTGCAGATCATCATCAACTTTTTGGATTTTTCAGTCCTGATTTCAAAAGTCATAAAATTAATACTATTAAACTTAAACTTGAGATATTTTGCAAATGTTTCGCTTTGTAATGAAGCCTTGAAAAAGTGCATTTATTTATTCATACTTCCTTCCTCCTACAAGCTCGCCAGTTTTATATCTCACTTTCAATATTTACACAAACATCTCACTGCTGCCGAGTTTGAAGATTGTGTAAGATCTTGCAAAGTTTGTTTCTTTTGTTGAAGGAAATCTTCTTTTATTAATTTTTTTCAAGTACGTTGCAGTTATTTGCTCTCGAAAATCCTCCATGTGCGAGCCAAACGCTGGGTTGCATGTTGTTGTGTTTAAAGAACTAATTAAATTACACGCATATTCACTGGAGATAAAAGAACTAATTTTAATTGTATATTTTTGAAAGAAAACAACTTATCTTCGTTTGTGCCATCTCGATAATTTCTTTTCAATCTGTCCCAGACGCTGAACAGCGATTGCTGGGTTTTCGCTTCATTTTCAGCAGAAAAAAACAAGCTTTACCTGGAAGTCAAATATTTCAGTGCTTCTTCACAGCTCGGTGCCCACATCACGTTTTTGGTGGCAATTCTCGCGGCCCGAATGATTTCAGATTTCTCTTATCTTACAGCTATAAGAGTTGTGTTTTTTAATCGCTACACATTTGTTAAGAAGAAAATTAGACATATTGCATACGCTTAATTTAATTGACAGATGGGCTCACATTGTTAAAAATAAAAATTATTTATAATTTATTTACTTTGAGTAGCCGGCGCACCAAGGACGACTAGACGGCAAATTTTGCCGGTCGCTGGAGCTTACGGAGTACTCTGCATGGAGGATGTGTTTCTTATTTCTTTTGGAATATTGCTTGATGAAAAAAAGAGAACAACTTGTTTACTTTATCATCAAAATGGAAATTATGTTTGCTCGCACCATCATTATGGCTAGTTCTGTGGTTCTATCAAGTGATTGAGACACATTTTTTTAACCAATCTGCATGTGTATTTTCTTTGGGCTGTGTTGTAAGATGCATCTAACATGCTGCAGGTAGTGGTGTGTAACCAGATGAGTGGTGACTTGAATATTTAAGACAATGCCCGGAAATGCATGAATGTAACACCTTCAGCATTGCCAGTTTTCACTGTATGGAGTATACATGTCACATGAAAGTAGTAAACGAGCTAGCTTGCCAATAGTCTTCTGGTAGGGATTGAGGGATTGAGATTTTTATTTTCGCCCCATTTGACAGTATAATTTACATCTGTCCTCACGTATGAAGCATGTTTTAAATGCAATATTTCTGAAAGACCCTAGTGAAATGAAATGGTGTGATTCCCTTTGTTTGGTTTCTGGAGGCAGTTAAAAGAGATTTTATTGTGTCATACTGAGAATGGTAGAAACAAGGAACTATACAGCATAACCATATCTGGGAAAGGGAGGAGACAAGAGGTAGGCGTGAAAGACCAAGAAGTGGTGCGTAAAATTTAAACACTAGAAAGACTGCAGAGAAAGACTGCAGAAGTTGATGATTGAAATATTAAAAAAAAGATGACCCAACAAACCCAGTGGAAGACAACATAGCAGAACTGGAAGAGATTGAGATAATCGATTTAGGAAGATGTTGAGTACAAGAGGTTAAGAATGTATTGAAGAAGGCCCAGACCTACTGAGAGCTGACATGAAAGACACTGCAAGTAGGCTGACTAGATGTTATAAAAGGTGTAGAGAGATTCAGTGGTGGCTAGAAGTGTGGAAGAATGGGGCAATGAAACCTCAATGTTTTGTCACCATGGGAAGTTGTAAGTCGTCACTTGTGACCTGGTGACCGCCAAGTTTTAGCCTGTGGCATTCTACTATGCTGTCTTACTGAAGTTGCACACAATTCATCTAAATCAGATATTAGTCTTTTCCCAGACAAATTTGGATTTGAACTTATAGTCATTCTATGTCACACATGAACAGTGTCTTGAACCTGTGATCAAAATCTTCCAATCCAGGCACGAGTTTCAGTGGTGTGACGGGGGTCACGAAAGTCAGAGGTGTAATTGAAATATTTGTTGCGTTCGACAAAAGGGGAACGCATACTAATTGGGTCATTCCAGCGGGTTTAGGTGGGTTTATTTTCCGCAATGCCAGATGATTTCAGGGTTTGGATGCCATCTTGGACTGGCTGGCTGGCTGGCTGCATGGCACAAATGGCCTCGACCTCACGTAAACTTTTTCTTGGCCGCTGGGAACTGGTACACTCTAAAATCAGGATTTTTAAAATTAGAAACTAGTATCCTTAATTTAAGTAGTTGTATTCTTAAATTAAGAACTGAGATCTTAATTTAAATATTTGTGTTAAGAATTAAGTTCTTCAACAAGGTCATCAAAATAAGGAAAAAAATTCTTAATATCAAAATTAAGCCATGCTGTCTCAAAGTAAGAAAAAACGATTTTGAAAACAAGAAATTTATATATGTTCTTATTATAAGCAATTTCTTAAATTGAGAAATTTTACTTACTTCAAGAATTTATTTCTTAAATTAAGAATTTTAAAATAATAAACTGAGGTCCTTACCACCAGAATTACATTAAGAAATGTGTTTTCTAAATGGAGAAATTGGGTTTTAGAGTGGTAGGTAATAATAATGGCACGTCTACAAACTTCAAAGGCTAACATGGAGAAATTACTGCTTTGAGATTTAAAATAGACAGGAAAAATACAAATCAATGTTTAGGTGTCCTCACAATGGAAGATCAGTGAGTACAGAGTCCTCAAACCATGGTGATTGGTTGTACGCTTTCAAGTAAGTTTTGAATATCGATCGAGGTTTTGAAGCAGTTTCCTGGACTTTAGAAAACAAAAATAGTAATGAACAGTATTACCTCTGCAGTTCCCACTTTGAATTCGGAAAAACAAAAGGCAATGCCCAAATATAGAAAACAAAACTCCTCATGTTCATTTAACTTTCAGAATGGTCGTTCACGTGTGACTTAGAATGACTGTTATATCACTACTGGCCCTGTAGCAACAGCAATGTGGAAGCACCGAGCAATGATTCAGTCTTCCCTCACAAAAAATCCAACAACATTCACCTTTCTCAGCTTAAAATATGCAACACTCTGACATGCTGACGTGGGGACATTCCTCCCCAGCGCTGTCAGCAACTGACAGGGAGATTGACCTCCCTGATCCACACTACCTCTCTCTGAAGACCTACCAATGCCGGACTCAACAGACCCCCGGACAGTCTCACTCCAAATCAATCACCATAAAAGGTGTCAAAGGCTAAGTTCAACAAATTTCACATTCTCCCAAGCTAGGACTACCTTTGGATTCAGAGGCATGTGCTTAACCTTGCTAGTAAACCAAGTTTCTTGAGGGAAACCATGTATTTATGGCAAGATCATCTATTTTTAACTGCACTGGTTCAGGTAGCTACACTTTTCGTTGGACTAGGCCAATTTTAACTGGCTCATAAAGCTTAAAAGCTTTATTAGCCAGTAAGCTCCTCTGCAGTATTTCCTACTGCAATGACTGCAACCTGCAATGTTATACTGCTGCACCAGTGGAGACTTCAGTCAGTTCCGGTACCACTAGTGGACTAGATTTTTTTAAGTGGAACAGTGTTCAACTTGAGTGACTAGAGCACCACCATAATCCAACAGAAAATTGAATATTACTGGACGGTGTAGTAGGAAAGATGAAAGTATCAAATGAGAGACATTTCGCTAAGATCTGAGTAACCATAGCAGCATAATGACATCATACCCCATTTTACATTGATATTATTGGAATATATACAACGTCAAGACAGTTGTCTTAGTAATTTATGGGACTGTTTTTGAGAAAACTGCAGGTGAAGTTTCAGGGTGTCAAAATACAACAAAACTAAAACTACTTGAAAATGGTATTGAAGACCATGTCGTCAAGACTCCACTAAATGGTATTACCTTGTGAAAATGAATAACCTTGAGTGAAAATCTCAGAGAAATTGCTCCGTCTTATTTTCAAAAACATTGGTTTGAACATCAACTGGTTTGGAGTGTTATTTTGCTTTTCCATCAAACATTGACCCTACAAGTGACTAAATGCTACAGATAGCTATTTTCTGGCTGTTATCTTGGCAGATTGAAGCTGAACCCTCAAAACACTAATCTTAATTGAGAACTAACATTTCCCTCCATGTTGAGTCAGTTGTTCTGTTTTTGTTGGGGCATGTGCACAAAGAAAAAATTTTTGAGAAGCCTATACAGGGTTGAACATTCAGCACATGTGAACCATTTCATTGTATGCCTTATATCTCACTCATGCAATAAACTTTGGTCAACGTAGTCCTAGCTCTACAAGTTTTCTCTTAAAGAACAAATGCATTGGTTTTGTTAGTTGGTCGTTGAAAAGACAAACCTCAACATCAGTGAAAAGTCAGGGAATTTTATCTTAAGGTTGCCGCAAATTATTTTATTAGGTGTTAATTTGTGTTTAGACAAGGTAATTTGTTTCAAAAACTATCTGAGCCATCCTTATTTTTGTTGGTTCATGGCCAGAATAGTCATTCTGTAGGGTCAGTGAAAATTGCTTCACAGTCAGTGAAAAGTCAGGGAAAAGTCTGAGATTTTTTTTTGTTCTGGTGGGTGGCAACCCTGCAAAACCAGTTTAGGTTTGTCTGGTTTTCCCCATTTGTTTGTTATTCTCCTTGTTCTTTCTCACTCAGTCTCTTTTGCAAATTTGTTGGCCTTTGAATGGGGACAAATTCCAAGCTTTAAAGCCTGTTTCCCTTTTCCAGTTTTTCCCTTGAAATCTTTCAGGCATGAATGCTTTGCAAGATTTTAAGGCCCTCTGTTAGCTGGCTATCAAAAACCTGTCCTATTGTGAAAATTGATGTCAGTACTATGAGAAGCATTGTTCCTCAGGGTGCCATTTTGGTCACAAATAGGGTATCTATTTGGGCCATTTTGGTCACAAATAGGGCATGGTTTTTACTCTCTAGCCTTGAATTGGGTATGTTCTTTTTAGATGAAGCTACGTTTTGCATCATTATAGATAAGACCATGATCATTAAAAGCCCTTCACAAATATGCCTTTAACATCAGTCTGAACTAGGGAACTAATTATCGGGCAATTCTAAAACGGTATTGATATAATGGTAAAACGGTATTGATATAATGGTGAAACGGTATTGATATAATGGTCAGGTCTTAAAAAAGTCTGCATACGAGCCAAGTGGCCCATCAGGCCGAAGCTTATGCCGGTTTCTGTAGCATGAAGCGACTAGGAGTATTTCTACTCCCCCCTGGATGGGATGCTAGTCCATCACAGGATAACCCTGAAGCATTGATTAAGCTCGTCAGTACCCATTTATACACCTGGGTGGAGAGAGGCACTGTGAGAGTTAAGTGTCTTGCCCAAGAACACAACTCAATGTCCCCAGCCAGGGCTTGAACTGGACCACTTGATCTGGAGACAAGTGCACTAACCATGAAGCAACTGTGCCTCCTTAGTTTTAAATAGGGTATCAAATTTTTGGTCAGGTCATAAAAAGACTAGGGAAAATTGCAGATTTTGGTCTTAAATAGGGTAAGAGGTTTGGGAAGCAGGCCACACACCACACCCCACCCAATTTTTCTGGGAGTACCCCCTGGGGTTTCAGAGTAATACAACAGAGGGCTTTCCATTTTAAATACAATTCTCCTATTCTTGTGGCTGTTGTTATGTCTCTCTCTCTGGATCTTCAATGTTCTCCTAAGACCCATTCAAGTGGAGTTGAAATATTCCATGAACCCCATATTATGTTGACACAAATAAAAAATTGGGGATGGACCATTCGACTTTTGAGGGGGTGGGGGGAGGGGGTGCTGGCTGTACCGAATCATCCACACCCCTCAAAAGTCAAATGGACCACCTTACACCCCTCGTTGTAGTTAACCACCTTCAGTTATTGTTCATTTTAAGTGTGACATGAATTGAACTTTGCCCATGAGTTTTGTAATCGGTGACTTTGTTGTTGTTGCAGATGAGCTTGTTCACGTTCTTCTCAGCAGTATGCGTGGTCCTGCAGATGATTGGCACAATTCTGACAGGAGATGCTGGAGAGCTGTTGAAGTCACTTGTTATGTGTGAAAAAGGCATCTCTGGACAGACCTGCAAATGCTGTGACTCAATTATGGCATGTAGGCAGAGTGTGGGTGTAATAGAGTTTGAAGACGTGGAGGACTGTAGTATCGTAACAGGCTTGCTCACTGGTTTAATGTATGGTCTTTGCGTTCTAACCATTTTTGGAAGCTTGCTGTGTTTTATTGCAACTATACTAGGATGTACTGCAGTTGCACGTGAAACAAGCAGAAATCAGGTACTAGTTTCTTAGTCTAGTTCAAAAGTGCAAAGTCTTACCTATGCATTGTTTAGAGTGGGTCCTAAGTTTCTGAGAGGGGCAATGTGTACAAAGATAAGAAAAACAAAACTCCCTTTAATTTGACTATATTTTGTATTACATGTATACATATTTGTATAACATATTATTATGAAATATGCTTGTAAGCACCTACAATTTTGAATGTGACACTAATAATAATAATAATAGTAATAATAATAATAATAATAATAATGATAATAATAGTAATAACTACTTTATTTATACTGCAAAAAATAGATCAGCTGAAGTTAAATATTAAGACAGCTGGTATAAACCTATCCTACGATAACCCAAACAAGCCTTTTGTACAAATATAAGCCCTGGGTTCATGTAAAGTTAGTGTAACAACCAAAAACAACCAAAAACAAAAATCCTAAATCATGTTCATAAGGCTGTTTGTCTGGGTAAGAGCTTGTTGCATGGCTGTTTTTGTTGTGGAAAGAATTTTTGTGTTTCATAGCATTTGTATTAAATAGATCTTTTGAGAAAACTTTTAGCTGCCTTATTATTAGAATGCTGCATGCCGGTGAAACTTCCTTCTCATAAGGACATGAAAGAAAACAATATTTCCCGTTTAAATGCAAAAAAATGTCTACCGAATAGAGCCTATAACTAAAAAAATGTCTTTCTTAAGACTTTAATCTAAATGCAGGGCTATGACCTTGATGCTCATATGTGGCGGACGTTTATTACTATTGGACGGAAAGGGGTCTGGGATTTGGGTGCGTATTTCAAATCCTGGGGCTTATCTTTGAGAGCTTATGTTACATCTATGGATTCGTTCCTTTCTTTCCCTCTTTTTAGGGGCTTTGTGGCCGCCATAGCTCCAGAAGGTCGCATCCTAGAAACCAAGAGTGCTACACGTGGGCACCATATCCCACAGACCTGACCATACTGCCACCATACGCACCTCCAGTATATCACTCAGTTGAAAACTTTCAGGATTATGGCATATCATCGTGTATAGTGCCACCACCGGTGTTTGATCCCACAGACTTGCCTCCCCCTTACTCATCACAGAACCCATCCATGACAGAGTCTCAATACTCTTTGTCTTCTCCTGAGTCTTCAAACAGTCAAACTCATTTTACTGCTTGTCAAGATACTGAGGTTCACTTGCAGGCTGAAAATCATGATCAAGATCTTGAATTGCAAGCCCCTCCGTCCACCACCTGTGGTACCCCTAGTGGGGGTATGTACCTGGAAAGTGACAGTCCTTCATGGGACGCCCATTCTAACTCTGCTGTGGGCAGTATAGACCTTCTCTCAGCCAGTGGTTCATCTGAATTGTCATCTAACTCTAATGACAGAGTCTCTTCTGCTCGAGAACGCCTCCAAACAGATATCACTGACTCACATGATCACAGCATGGTTATAAGTAGAGCCATTCCTTTAAAAGTACATCGCCCAACGTGCTCTACGTCCAGAATACAAGCCGAATTGTCTGAACTGGTTAAAGCTTCCACAGGTTCGAGGAAGAGAACATCGTCACTTGGATTAATACAAGAGGTAGCAACAAGAGACATAGTGAATAGCCGTCCTGTTAGGACAACCTCTGGCTCTCCCGCCAGAGGGACCACCATCCTATCTCTCCGTACACGGAGTAGATCTTTGGGGGAAAGCTCCATCTATGTAAATTCATTTGAGGTTATTAGACCTCCTCCTAACATGCGAGTGCCAGCTGATGAACCGCACAAGCCTTCCAGTACAGATAGTTACTTCAACACAAGAAACTCCCATCATCGTTTAGGAAGAGGAACTACACACAAAGGCGAAGCGCTGATAGCTCTGCAGGGCAGCAGACACAGTGAACAAAGGAGAGAGAGAAGTAAACATAGGCGAAGAAGGCACGTACACAATATTCCTAAACACAAGGGAAAAAGGTATCTTAACTGTGAATTGGTAGACTCGCCACAGAATTGTGGCCCTGAATCGTCAGTGACACAGGGCAAGGAAACGATAGTATAAATGAACACAGCGGCGGGTGAGTTTTTATCCCGCAATTTCCCATCTCTTACATTGACTGAGAAAGAAATAAAGTCCGTCTTTTGTTGCTCTGGAACTGTAGTTTCAGCAGTTTTTTTTTTCCTTTGTGAATAACGAGATATCTGTATTGAACAAATTTTCGGTAGAACTGAAAGTTCCTTGCACCTCAAAGGGTGCTTCAGTAGATTTTTTATTACATTAGTAATATATAATATAAATATACATATATATATCTATACATAAACAAAATATAAAGAGATCACAGCTGAAGAAAGCCAGAAAAAGAGAATGGCTTGGCTTTTTTTCGCATGTATAGCATGTTTGCAACATGTTTGCACGTGATTTTGTGTTTTTCCTGGTCTGCAAAAGACTCTAAACGTCTTCACATCGTATTCAATTCAATACTCCAGTCAGGGAACTACTGTAATTAGACAGCCTGGCTTCCTTAATGAAGGGTTGTCCATTTGACTTTTGACGGGGGAGTGGGTGATTTGGTATAGGTGCGAATTTTTGTTAACACTTTGATACACTACAAAATTTTTTCCCGGGACGAGTTGAAATTTTTTCTTCGCGTAACGTTTTTTTTTTTGCTCACTGAATGTGCATGAATGTTGTTGTTGATTTCTTTTCTTGGGGGGTTGGGGGGGGGGTGCAACAGTTGTGTGCATGAATTTGAATTTTTGGTCTAAGTATGCTTGCAGGGTTTTTTTTTTTTTTTCAAAATCCTCCACCCCTTCCCTCCTTCCCCACCCCACCCCTCAAAAGTTAAATTGTCCACCCGTAAAAAGTGCAAGCAATTTGGCGTGTACAGATATTGCTTCGTGTTATTTTGGTTGGACAAGGAGAATTGGAAACTTGTGGGTAGTTCGAGGAGGATATCCGGTAGTTCCCCAGACTGGAGTGAATAGAATCGTACCAATTATTTAACACATTCTGATTTCTTAATTAAAAATATTTGAGTTACCGTCGTTTATATTTTGTTCCGAAAATGTTAATCTGCTTGACAAGCTTAAGAGCCAGTTGTTCAAAGAGTAACACTATCCACTGGATAAATGACTATGCAGTAGAGAAGTGTTAACAACAACAAAAAAAATCTAGAGGCCCCATTGGGGGAATATGAGTGTCCCGCATCCCGTTAATGTTTTGCCCAAATATACCCGATCGCGTTGATTCCAGTTGCAAACAAAAATAAACGATTTTCCCACTCGATATTCCGTTTTATACCATGCTATGCAGGCAAAGGAAATACAGCCAATCAGAATACAGGATAGCCGTTGTATAATCGACGGTATTAATACACCCAACCTTCCCATCATGCGCCATGCGTGTGTCGCAATGATTCTGTTGGCCACTGTATTTTATATGGCATGGTATAAAATGGTTATACAACGCTCTCTCGTATACCAAGAAAATACAAGTGACTCGTGAGATATTCCATGGTATACCACTCGAAAGCATTACATAACCAGTGTTTATCTCATCCAAATACATGTATCCCATAGCCTATTATTTTTTTGTCCAAAAGATACCGTGTCCCGTTCAATTTTTGCCTGAATATCTCGTATCCCGAAAACCCCTAATTGGGCCTCAATCTGCGCTACACTGAATGGTGATTTCTCCGGCGGATAGTATAAATCATACTTTGAAAAGGTGGGGGCAAGGTGTACCTGAATCAATGTAAAATATAGTAGTTGAGTAGTTCTGATTTAAGATTTTTATCAAAAGTGCCGGGGCATCGAATGTCTTTGAAAAGGGTGAATTGTTCGTCGCTTAAAACCGAATGATAAGCAGAAGATTCATCTATTTATAGTGACTGCTGTCGTTAAAATATTGGTCCAGTTGGACTTTAATTTGTGCGTTATGTCATGTTATTGTCAAGGTAATTCTCTCGTTATAAGGCGGCGAGAAAGTTACATTCCCTTATATTTTTACCTTAAAGTATACAAGCAACAGAAACATAAGTTTAAAACAAACGAACAAAGAAATTAGTACTACATTGTTGCATTGCAAGTTGAAACCCTCTGTTGCGCGTATTACCACGTTTGTGACCAACTTGTCTCGCAGCAAAATACAGTATTGCAGGTTGAGGCAA